ACCAGTTGACTTTCGTTTTCTAGACGTCGAAGGTCATTGAGCCTACTATATATTTGGCGTTGGCCTGGCGTAGTTGTACAGCGTTTTGGCTATGTTTGGCAGCATTTTGGTTAACACATTTTCGTGGTCATGGTCGTTGGACTTTTGCTTTTACTTCGGGTGTGCTAGAAAATTTGCGGAGGAACATTTGGGTGTTTAATTCGGAATAGTGAGAAAACGTGAAAATGTAACACTTTCAACTAAATAGTAACACACGCTTTGGAGGATACTCTTTAAGAACCCACAATTTCACATACGTACTGTTTCTTTCTACTACCATTACCATGATAACCTATGCTCGCGAAATGCTGAACTCGTTATGTGTTTTCGCGCAAACTAACAACGATCTCAGAATACATTGCGAATAATCTACAAAACCATGATTAAATCTATAAAAAGCGTCGTGCCGGGTGGGTGGTTATTATCAAGAAGAAAAACTTTACAAGTTTGAGCCTACCGACTTTCTAACCGCTGTTATCCGTTCGCTTCTTAGAACAATGAGGGACCTTGGAAGCGTTATCAGCTGTCTTGAACGTGCACAGCTAGGAATCATTATGCCGCAAGCGACAGGACTCCATAAAGATGTCGAAAATGCTGTTGTTGCAATTGACCGTTTACTTGTTTTCTTACTGATCGCCTATGCGCCTACCGGAATAATGGCGGCAGGTCATAGCCTTTACCAACACTCCTTGGTACTTTGCAGTGAAATCCTCTTCTGCTACTCGTCATAACGTATCGACTGCTTGGTCCCAAATTTTAACTCAAAATATAAACGTGAGTACCGCCCAGTTTTACTGGCCAATTTCTATTTATTCTCCAGTTGTCCAAATTCATATGCAGACAAATGTGACTATCACTTTTCACCAGTGATTATGGAGCAAATCGGCCACTCCCTGTATATATTTGCTGGTGAGTTCAATAGAGTCGAGACCACGCTCCTTAACAACTGTCGGACTACAGAATATAGTAAGTGTCCCACCAAGCTGTAGGTAACTCTGGAGGATTTAATAACAAAGATATGTTCGGTCAGCAGTCAAGCACCACTTGGTAGCTCAGTGCAGTCTATACTCGAGCTATCCCTGTTGTCTACAGTAAAAGAAATTACCAAGATGTCATTCTCTGTGACGAGAATCATAGCTGGATATGCGTACAAACACTTCCCTCACATTTTGTGCGAGTGAAAGAAGGGGTTGCCCTCAGGCTTTAGTTTATTTTCCGTCGCAGATTTATCTACATACTTTGATCACATGACAGGTACTCTGAACTGCTGTTTTAAGCTCTGTTGTCTAATATAAACCATTTCCATCCGTGCAGGCGGCTGTTCTTCGCCGCACCTCAGGCAGCATCGTAGACTCAAGGAGAGAGCTTTCAAAAGCAAGAATCATGCTTTAATAAGTCCATTTATGCTCCTGTTAATGAAGAAGTGCACCATCTTAATCGTGTCTACATCGGACAATTTTGGAACCAATTGTCGTGAGATTTGGCAGATGAGAAAGTAACTCACTGAAGTCACTTCTCATAACAGAAATCCTGACGTGAACTTAGGAGAAGTAAATCTTGAGTTCTGCTGTACCAGCGCTGACTCACTCTCTGATTCATGCTTTGCACCATTTCATTGGTCTACGAACGCATTGCCTGTCGACGTTGCATCACTGCACAAGAAGTTAACCCAGCTGCATTCAAGCAAGACAAGCCGAACTGACCTGTCGTCCTCAAGCAGTGTGCCGATTCCTTATCGAAGCCTCTGGCTAAATTATACAAAATAGGGCTAAAGCAAGCAAAGGTCGCGGATGGTTGGAGGATGGTTAGCATAACAGGAGTATCGAAGAAAGTGACGGGTAAATATCCGCTTAATGCATCCATCTCGGTGGCTTTGAAGAATTTTTTGAAAAGTATTCTCAAAAAATACTGGCCTGATTCAGTTTGAATGACTCATTTCAGTTTGATTGTAGAAGTTCCACATAAACCGCAGTGGCTTGTCTATTGCATGCAGCGTTATCGTCTCTAGACGGTAAGATCAAATCTACACGTGTTTGTCTCCTTGAATGCAGCAATGTTTTTGGTTGTTGTGGCCGTAAATTGCTGTTGCAAGAGCTCCTCACCACTTAATGTTCGGTGTCCTTCAATGAACTATTTTGTCATCATTCTCATTCTCTACTTAGGTTGGCTCTACACTTGTCTCAGAATAAGCCCTTTTGCTGAAATATATTGAGTAGGTTCTCACTGCCATGCATCATCCAACCTTTGTCTACTCAACCAAGCTGCAAAGTTGTTTGGAGGAATTAGTGAAATGGTCGAACTCCAGCTGCCAGATGCTGAACCCATCTAAATGTATTGACGTTCTGTTTTCACTTCGTAAAGCAGCTCCTTATCAAAAACATTTCACGTAATATACAAAACTTCAGGTTTAAAGTGACGGTTTAAGCTGCTGTAGGAATTACACTGAGCCATCAAATATTCACCGAAGTCGGGCGGCCTCCGTCCAACATCAATTTATTTCGATCATCTTGTGATCCATACACTTTGATTCTGAAGATCATCTACCTGGACTTATTGCTCTCCTGTGATATTTTCCCTGCCTACCGTCTAAGCATTTAAGCTACCTGACAGGTTGCTAAAAATCCTGTCTCTTTGCAGTGGTATTCCGAAGTCAAATTTGGATTAAACCATTGTATTAACGCCCGTGGTCACGCACAAAACTTGCTGCCAAATTACGAATATTAGGCACCCTCTTCGCAGTGCACTGTCAAATTTTATAGCTTTATTGTCAATCAGACAAAAGTATGGAACAATATATGCCCGCGCGATGGTTTATGGTTCGTCAGTCACTCCCTATCTAACAAGACTTTTATTTAACCAAAACGCTAGTATCCAAGCAGTGACCGGTGTGTTTTGACAGTAAGGTCGTTTACCATTGAGGCTTCATTTTTGTTGCTTTTATTGTGGCGCTGTTGAATTACTTTTTATCGTACCATTAGAATGGGTTACGACTGAAAACTCACCTGTCGTGGGTGCATAGAGTTGCATTCTTGACTTGGTTTTAAATGATATGCCACCGATTTTATCTAATTTTCGCTTTGTCAACTCACATTTCCAACAGTTAAACCATGAGGATTGTTCACGGGAAGAGTTAGAGGAAGAAGCTCCCTTCGTTACAATAGACAGCTTATTCTACGGAAATAGCGATAATCTATGGACACAAAATCTGTTTAACAATGGACGTTACAAATGGCACAATTGAACTTTGGAAGCGGGCAGCACTAAAGCTGGTCATGATATGCCACTTAAGGACAATATATGCATATTAGCGCAAAGAGTTTATGTTTCGTTAGACGGATACAGCCGGACCAGCGTATTTTATATAACGCTGCCAACTGTTATTAATCAAATGGGAATCTACAAAACTAAGACGCATGTCCTATGTAAATGAGAGCTGCTAATCAGCACCGTAGCCCCTTGACATTCATTACACTGCTGGCTTCGACCAACCGCAAAACTTGAGTCCTAGGGTGTGGAACACATGCTAGACTAGCAAGAGTAGTTCAATGCCTTGAAACTAAATTGCTACAGCACGAACCAAGCTGTTTCCTCGAACTACGACATCACGATTGTTCTTCCCTTTGAATCATAAATTCGGCTGCGTCAGGATGTTAGTTGCTAGTCTGACAAAACCATTTTTGGTCGGACCCTTTAAGATATCTTAAAAGTAAGGGAGTATTGGACGGGACTTTGACGTTAAGTATCAATCCATCACTTATTTTATGCTCTCAGGCAGCCTACATTGATTTAGTCTTTAGGTGTTTACTCTATACAATTCTATACCATTCAACTCCGCCTACTGCTCCTTTGTAGTCATACGCGAACCAAACTGCTTACAATACCGTAAGTTAATAGGCGGCTTAAGTTTGGTACCTTTGTCGCTTGGTAAATAGCAAAACCTCTCCTCTGCACGGCACTACGGTACATGTCAGCAGATAGTGAGCTGCGCTATATTACATCAAGTAAGTTAGACACAGTGGTCGTTGCCGTCCCTTGCAGACAAGTGTTCTCAACCACAGACTAACAACAGCCAAAATTCAAGTTGGTGACCCACAGGGCTCATATGGAATGCGCACTACTGATGTTTTCCGATAACAAAGAATGGCAATGCAGTGCTTTTCAGTGGCAGGTGATGGATGTCTGACAGAGGTGGCATGGATTTCTACCTACTCCATAGGAAATGTAGGTACTAATCAATGGGCTCACGCCCAAACCGTAACTCAAAGTAGGTTAAGTTGATGATGCCTTCAGAATGGTTTCATACGAGTAATCATATAGGCACGTTGCTCCGCGACGGCATGGTTTGCATAATGCTGAAAAGCCTGAGTTAATTCCATTTTAGCCGAACGCCTATAAATAGCACCTAGGAGCAAGATAGTGGAAGGTATGGGGGATCAGTTCATAACCTGGCTTGCTGTACTGTGGCAGGAAAGATGAGGAGAGGCTAGTGAGTGGGGTTGGTTAGATCCACTTCAAAGTAACAGCAGATAGACGACTTTCGGCTGTACTAACTCATTTAATTCGGAAGATGACATGATGTCTCTACAATGCTGCACCATCTGTTACGTGCATGATGTAATGCCCTTTAGTGGGTAACAAGTTTCCGTTCGCATCGGAGTTTAAACTGAAAAATTAGACTTTTGCTAGTATAAAATCCTTCCGCAATTAAACGAAAGCAAACAATTCTTAGGCTGCACACCCAGCGTGATCAAATCTAAAAAAGTTTGTATAATGGAACCAACCCAGACGGTCACCTCAGATTATCTACCCACGACTATTCGGAAGCTAGAGGACAATCAAAATATATAGTGATCAAATGGAATGCATCGAAGCCAATCGAGTGATGGGAATCTAATAAACAGGAAACAGCAACGGCAACACTGCTCAATGAAAACTTGCGCTAGTTATGGTAAATTGCTCACCGTATTGCGAAATCGATGAGAAGCCGGGACCTTCCTCAAGTTCTACCTCAACCTGAGGTAGCTGAGCGTTTATGGAGTCCGAAGCATTTGATTTTCCATGGATGTCCGAAGAAGGAGCTGCCTGATTTACGTTTCAGGAGAACAAAAATGTCACCAGTAAGGAGTGGTTTACCGTGTACCAAGTGAAACACAATTGAAATATACTCCAGTAAGAACATCAAAAAAGCGAGATGGCAAAGCAGCTAGATGGAACTGGATGAGCAGAGTAGGAATCGCATATTTGGGACGAATACTAGTAATATTATGTGGACCCAACATTTCCACAAGATCACGAGCTGAAACCACGGAAAGCAATGAGACTCGTATTCAGACCAGTGCACATGCTTCGAGCAGCCTTCCAATTAGTGAGACATTCACTTTCCGATCAGCTTTTGTACTTAAGAAACATTCCTGTTTTCGACCAACCTCCACAATCATAAATCCTTCGGCCATTTTGTCTAAGAAACATTCACTTTTTCAGTCCAGCCTCCGCATCTACCAACATTTACTTTTCAATACGTTCCGTTGGCATATGCGCACAGTGCAAATTCACTTGCTCATGCTTTACTTCCAGGATTAATTTACGTAAACCATTCTATGCGTAAATCCAAATCTTTCACAATCGCGGTATATAAGCAAAGCTGGACTGCGCTGTAAGCGCCTTGAACCTGGCCAGTAAAAGTACCTGTTGAGAAAGACCTGTCTGTTGTCTTATTTCTCTCGGGTTCCGGTAGTTTCATGTGAAATTACGTTCGGTTTCGGAGCTCGTAGTAACTGTGTTGCACCTAAGTCTTACGGGTCGTACAAACTTCGAATTTTGTCGGTTAGCTTGTTGTGTGTGAATACAGTTCCAAGGCACATTCGTTCTTCCGACTAGGAGAGTTGTTGCTACCAGCTCATCAGAGCGTGGCGTAACCATTAAGGCGTCATAATAGGTAACTGTAGCGGTAGTTGTCCAGCTAAAAGCTGGGTCCATGCATCTCGGAAACGACTATATGTATTGGGACTTCAATGACCGATACAGACCATGCAGTAGAAAAGTGCACACCGTTCTCCGTAATGTTGTACAGCTTGTCGAGTAATACTGCGAATATCCGTCTATTCAATCAAATGGAGTAACCTTGGTGGTGCACATATCAAGTGTGTTGCAAATAGACAACTTCTTTCTGGCACATTGTTGGCTCTGTATTCACTCTTAGTCGACATCGCCGCTTAGCACTTCGGTGGTGCGGTGATTCATTTTATCCAAGGTCACAGTACTGTGAAAACACTTGGTCCCAGCAACACAACAGCCACGAAACCAAGTTAATAATATGGGGACTGCAAACTGGAATTCAATTGTTGCCAAACTGCACTATACCAAACATATATTAAAAATCTTCTCTATTAAGCTGATAGGCCACAAGTAAATCCCACCACCAACACAATGTTATTTAGCTAGCAGATTCAGGTGGAATAAACATGATTCCCTCAGCTTTTTTCGGAAAAGTTTAACGATATTCTCTCGGTTAATGCATAGTCTCAATTTTCGACGAATAGCAGTATCTCGAGAGTCATTACACACGGGATTCTCCTATCGTTCCAGTCCCATCTGAACTGAACGTTATAAAAGGCATCCGCTTTATGTATCTCGTCCTGGTGTGCATTAACAAACCATAAATGGTCCAGAGACTGGCTCGAATTCACTGGGGTAAAAGCAAACATATTTACACAGCAAATGAGTGTCGGGTGGAAGGCACAGGGTAGTTCCTGGTAGCATGCGTAAAAGCACGGACTAGCTTATTGAAACTTGTAACAACGGATTGCATCTCCGTTTATGGATCAAAATTCAATTTAATCGATACCAACCCACATGGCAGCACATGAGCACATGATCAAAACGAGTTTTGACGTAGTTGTTCCTTTGCATGAATGCACACCAGAGTGGTGTGGGCGCAGGTGCCTTTTTTGTCTAGCTGTACTGCGTCAGAGAAAATAGCGGCCTGTTCACTAGCAGATGCTCAACCGGATGCAGACTGTTATTGTGAACGACTTCGAACAATCAACGAGGATTTTCGTAATTGGTTGACAATGAGGCGTTAACTGAATTTCCTGGGGTGTATGGAGTCATGTTAGATGAACTCAGTCAAACAGAACTCAGTAAGTTATGGCAATTGGTGGTTGTCTATCAGTACTGTAGGGGTCGGAGTCATTCATGCGTAATTGCAACCAAAGAAGGATATTACGTGGCGCGACAACAAACCTCGAGCGTTAATTTACAACTTATGAGCAGTTGTCATTGGTGATAGTCGGTAGCTTCTAATGAAGAATGAGGGGTCAGTTATCTGTTTCGCAATTACGGCCAACAGACAATTTAATATGCGCCTCATGAATTTTGTACTTGTGTGTTGACCACCGAATGAATATGAATATGTGTTAATCAGCAGATTATCTGAAACCGTTTACCTAACTACTTATTCTTTTTTGTCGGCCAACCCTTTGGATTACTAAACTACGAGGTCCATAAAAACAAGTACAGTCAATTTGGTGAAAATTTCATCACGTAAGAAATCTAGATTAACCTGCGAGGCAAATGACGAAGTTAGAGTATATTGACAAGACAAGTAAATGGGGGAGAAGGGCAGGCGTTTCTAAGCAACAATTCAATGAGTAAGGCAACTTGGCAAATGACATGTTGAATCTACAGGGATTTTGCGGCAGCGATTACAATCGACTTCACCAAAGCTACAGGAGGGTGTTTGGGACACATTCTAAAGGATAACTAAAAGACGGGGTGACGGTATTTAGTCCATCGGTGTCCAAAGTTTTGGGGATTTGTAAGCTTCGAATGTGACATAATCACGTGGGTTAATCATACATCTTGTTCTACTGGCATTCACAAGTTACTGGCAAACCGACTTGGTTGAAACAAGTACACGAACTAACATAATTGCCTTTTCATTCTTCATAAACAAAATAATAAATCGAATTGTGTGTGAAGAATTCTTTTCGGGTAACAGCTCATCAAACCCATCCGTTTACCTTCGACAAGGTACTATCTACCTGAAATCCTAACGCCAGTTTCAATACTCGTAACTCCTACTCGTACTGAAGTGGGTCTCAAAAACAGAAGGTGAATTATATCAGCAAAATTAGCAAAGCTCTAAGTGGGATATATTTAAATCCCATTCATGAAGTCATAACTGTTTTCCATTTAAGTGTCATCCAGAAAACAAGTGTAATTTTCTCCAGATACTTAGGTAACAGGTATGGCTAACTGCCAGTCTGTTTCAGATAAATACTGAAGAGTAAAAAGTAATGGGTGAAGTGTGGTTATGAGTACCATTCTACATTTGGCACCATGACAGAACGTGCGTCAATTACATCAATAATTAACACAGAAAAAAGGTATCTGTTTCTGAGATACGGTGTCTGAGATACAGTATCCACCCAGATTTCTGCAAATTGCGTTATCATAGTCGACGCCATATGTCGTTGTGAGGTTTATTCACCGAGTCTCATTACACGTTGAATCAGGTTGTACTATCTTATAATCTCTTAAGAAAGTCTGGTCTATTCATTTAGTTGCATCCATTTAAACCAAATTGTCAGTGTTCATAAACTTGGCACCTTGAAAACGTAAAAGAGCCTGGCTTACTTGTGCGAAAATGTACGGGTATCAAAGGGGTTTTCTACTAGAACAGTGACGTTGGCACTCAGTGGTTGGTGAAATGGTTTCGGCGGCTGTTTCTGTTAACAATAGCAAATGACAAGCGTCGCCTATTCGCTTAGTCTAATTTATCTGTGAACAGTGAACGACCATAAATAATGATTTATGTCGGGTAAAAATGCAGTTGTTTGATAAGTCCTGCAGGATGGTGGGGTAAGACTATAATTATCAGACGATAGGTAAGTTGTCTGTTTGAGCGTTTATCTAGCAGATACGCTGCTGCATATTAGTAGTGTAAGTAAAAATTGTGTGTGAACGACGTGGCAACATGATGACAGTTATATTTGATGTATTACATGTGAAAAGTAAAAACAAGAATACTCAATTCTGTCCCACATCTTCAAGTTTACGTAACATGCTTATCCGGTTTGGAGGGATAATTACTATATTCCAATTTTGCACACTTCAGGCAACGAAGTGATGAGGGCTAAGGGCAAGATCCAATCGTCTTTTTTGACGATATCCTAGGTGAGGAAGGAAACAACGAAGTTTGGGAGAGAGTTCCAGGGTTGGCAAACCCGAGAAGAAAGACAATTCCGCCGGCATTCCAGGCGGCTAAACTGTGCACACAATTTCAGAGGGTTACCTCTGAGATTGGTGTTATGGCTGAGTTTTAGCAAGTGACGGCATACGTGATTAGGGTCAAACAATCTTTGGTAGACTAATATGAGATCGCCGCGTAGCCTTCGGTAGCTGCCACTGAAAACTCCCAGTGACTTCAGCCTTTGATGGTAGGACAGATTTCGTAGGCCCTTGACGTTCTTTGTGGCCCTGCGTTGGGGTTTCTCTAGTACTTCTAAGTCGCGCTTCAACCAAGGTTGCCAAGCTTGGATGGCGTATTCAACGTGAGGGCACACGTAAGAATTGTGCAGCATGGGGAAGATGGATGGGTCGAATCTTCCGAATGCTCTCCGCAGCAAGCCGACGTGCTGGTTTGCTCTCTTCGCAGCTGCCTCTGACTGTTTTGAACAGTTAAGATCACTTTGAATGAGCACACCAAGGTCGCGTTCTTGGGAAGTTGTTTGCAATACATGTGACCCAAGCCTATACACGTAGTCATGTCTATGGCGCAATTGAACAGCGTGACATTTTTTCACATTGAACGGTAGGGTATTCAAAACTGAACAGGTTGAAATCGTGTTGAGGTCACGCTGGAGCTTTTCGTGGTCGTTCGGTTCTTTGATCGCTCGCCATAACTTGATATCATCCGCGAAGAATAGGAAATCGGAAGTAATTTTCCTCGCCAGATCGTTTATGAAAATCAAGAATAGACGGGGCCCGAGCACCGAGCCTTGTGGTACGCCGCACTCCACCTCAATTGCGTCGGACAGGGATTCTCGTACTCTCACTTCCAACCGACGTTCGTGCAGGAA